ATCTCATTTATCGCATTTTTTAATTCTTCATGCCTATTTTTATTTTCCATTCTGTCTGTAGCCATAGTTTCTTTGATGTCCCCTATGTTTTTTTCAAGCCCAGCTATTAATTTTACCATTATTATTCTAAAATCTTGTTCAGTGATGCTGCTGATATATGTGTTGAGCAGTTCATTAGCTGTCATTTCTTCTTGGAGTTTCTTTGGAGGAGAGCTCTTTCGTTTCATCATTTTAGTTAGCTTTCCGGCTCTTGTTGGTTTTAAAGACCTGTTATGCTCTCTGTTTCTATGAGCGCTGCTATATCCAAGAAGACTCTTTGACTTTCTAGGGCCTATCCTTTCAGAGAGTGTTTTTTGAGTGGTATCTCTTGGTCTCTCTTGTTGGGACCTTGGTTATTTTATTTTCCTATTCGTAGTGATATTTGGGACTCTCCACCTTGTGTACTCTGGCTTGTTTCTTGAGGTAGCCCTCTCAGGCAGGGATGAGTGTGGCGTGATCCAATGCCTCAGGCGGGAGTTCTGCCTTGGCGGTTGTGGGGAGGAGAGTGATGGTACTCCAGTCCCTTCTTGAACCAAGCGCTGCACCTCGCTTTTTGGGGCGTGTAAACTCCCCGTACCGGGGGCGCAGCCGAAGTTGGTTGCACTCTTCAACCCAGGCCAGTTACAATCTCCAAATCCCAGTCCGTGTGCCCGCTGAAATTGCCTTAGACACAGCTTCCAAGGCAACCCCCTCGGGGCAATTCCAGGCCCTCTGCCGAGCTCTGGGGGTGGAGTCAGAATCGCTGCTTCCTTCCCTGGGTCAGGCTGGGAGCATGGGCGGGGTCTTGCCTTCCGGGTGCACCGAGCCCGCTGGAGTGAGGAAAACCAGGTCCCTCTATGCTCCTCACCCGAAACATGAACTCACAGGCAAATTTCCCAGTTTTTAGTTCTTTGCCTTCCCTCTCGATTCCCAGCCAGCCAGGAGCGCGGACGCCTGGTGTCGCGCAACTCTTTCAGGGGCCCCAGCCTCCCAGGAGCTACAATGGCGGCAGGCGCGCCTCTACTCTGAAGTCCAGCCACCAGGAGCCAGCACAAAGCAGCAGTTTGTGTGCTCAGCCCCCCCACCCCGGGACCAGTTGGCGTGAGGGGACCTGGTGTGCAGGTATTTGGCAAGTACGGTCTTTCTGTGCACTGAGCGGAGGGTTTTTCCCCCCCAAGCAGAGGTTTTTCTGTTTTGGACTCTCTATTTTTCCCCTCTCACTCCCCATAGAGGGGGATCGCTCCCACCCTGGAGTCTCAGATCCCCGCCTGATTTTATCTTCCCCAGTTCGCACTCACGTTAGAAGGCTTTCTCAGTGGATTCTGCGTCCTTTTTCTCCCAATCTCTCAGGTTTTGTAAGGTTTCCAATGGCTTCAGATCTTTTCTGTGTGATGTATGGGCACGAGTGCAAGTACAGAGCTCCTTACTTCTCCGCCATCTTGCCCCTCCCTCCTGCAGTAGGTTTTTTTCTTGATGAAATCCCAATAGTTCATGTGTGCTTTAGTTTCCCTTGACTCCAGAGGTGTGTCTAAGAAGTTGCTATGGCTGAGGACAAAGAGGTTGCGACCTGTATTCTCCTCTAGGATTGTGATGGATTGAGGTCTCACATTTAGATCTTTCATCCGTTTTGAATTTATTTCTGTGTATGGTATAAGAAAGTGGTCCAATTTCATTCTTTTGCATGTTGCTGTCTAGTTTTTCCAACACCCTTTGTTGAAGAGACTTTTTTCCATTGGATATTCTTTTCTGCTTTGTCAAAGATTGGTTAACCATATAGTTGTGGGTCCATTTGTGAGTTTTCTATTCTGTTCTATTGACCTATGTGTCTGTTTTTGTGCCAATACCATACTGTCTTGATGGCTCTGGCTTTGTAATACAGCTTGAAGTCTGGAATCATGATGCTTCCGACTTTGCACTTCTTTTTCAAGATTGCTTTGGCTATTCATAGTCTTTTGTAGTTCCATACAAACTTTAGGATTGTTTGCTTTAGCTCCTTGCAAAATGCTGCAAGGATTTTGATGAGGATTGCATTGGATGTGTAGATTGCTTTGGGTAGTATAGACATCTTAACAATATTTGCTTTTCTATCCATGAGCATGGAACATTTTTCCATTTCTTTGTGTCCACTTCAGTTTCTTTTACAAGTATCCTATAGTTTTCAGAATACAAATCTTTCACCTCTTTGGTTACATTTATTTCTAAGAATCCTATAGTTTTTGGTGCAGTTATAAATAGGATCAATTCCTTGATTTCTCTTTCTGAGGCTTCATTATTGGTGTACAGAAATGCAACAGATCATTGTATGTTGATTTTGTATCCTGTCATTGCTTTTGTTATTTTTAAGATGATGTTAAGTTATGGTAAATTTAATCCTATATTCTGAATCCTAAGAAAAAAGAAGACATAAATTTTAAATTATTTGGGGTTTTAAAAGTTGAAGTATAATATATATGAGACTCACATAAAGAAAGTGAAAATATATTGTAATAAGGATGTGAGGACAGCTGGTAAGCTGCACTTGCGATGAACATAGTATAACATATGGTTGAATCACTATATTGTTCACCTGGAACTAATGTAGCATTATTTGTCAACTATACTCAATTAAAAACATAATAAAAATTAATTTTAAAAAGAAATTGAAAGCATATACAACAATTCTAGTGTCAAGTGATATAGATATTTACAGAAAATAGTTTTCATAGCCTTTTCTCACACCTCTGCTATAGAGCATGCTTAGGCTCTTGCCTGAGGAACGTGACAACTACCACTAAGGCCAGTTCTTCAATGGCCACCCAATTTGTATCAACTTAGCAGCCTCCGAAGGTCAAATCATGGGAAGAAAAATCAACCAATTTTTAGGAAAGCAGTAGACCCAAGTAGAACCTTGAGCCAGAGGAACAAGAAAATAGCATAGGCTGATAAAGGAGCTATATATAATATATTTACAAGTTCTGCTCAAATCAAAGTATCAAAAGACATGAGATATTGTACAAATTTACCAAATCCACCTATGAATGTTCTAGATTTTTCCATCATCTCCCCCTCACATTTTTATTCTGGTGTCAATGCAATTATATGTACCATTAAAATTACACTTATAGAGTGAGCCATTAATTATGTTCTTTTTGTGAAAAGACCCTTTAATTGTTGGATTGACTTACTATGTTTCAGGATAGCATCAAACAACTTCATCACATAGAAATGATAAAAGATTACTTAAACTAAATTTATTGGAAACAGTATACAAGTTGTTAAGTAAAGTGATTTTTTAAATTATAATGCTATATATCCCTAATATTCCTGAAACAGTATCTTCATTTATATACTTTTTAATTGAAAATATTTGACACATAACATTAAGTAAATCTAAGATGTTCAGCCTCTTACTTTGATATATTTATATAATGCAATACAATTATCATTGTAGAGATATTTATCCCTTTGCACAATATAATACAATATTGTCTATTTTTTGTACTGTGTATTAGAGCACTATACCTCATTTACCTTTCACTATTTATTACTTGCAAGTCTACCTTAAACAACAGCAACTTTATCTCCCCACCCTCCATCTCCTGGTAACTACCATTTTACTGCCTGTTTTTTATGAGTTTAATTTTTTTTAGATTCTGCATATAGATGATATCATTCAGTAGTTAGCTTTCTTTGACATGTTTCATTTAGCATAATGTGGTCAGAGTCCATCCATATTGTTGCTAATGGCAGGATATTCTCCTTTCTCATGGCTGAATAATATTCCACTATGTATATATACCATATAATTTTTATCCATTCATCTTTCATGGACACTGAGTTTTTTCGCAGCTACTGTGAATAATGCTGTGGTGAACATGGGAGTGTACATAGCTCTTTGAAATAATGCTTTCATTTCCTTTAAGTATATAGCCAGTAGTAGAGTTGCTGGATTGTGTGGTAGTTCTGTTTTTTAATTCGTTAAGGGACCTCCACCTCGTTTTCCAAAGTAGTTGGATCAATTTACATTCCCACTAACCGTGTATAAAGGTAACTCATCAAGACATTCTTGCCAGCATCTATTGTTTCTTGTCTTTTTGATAATAGCCATTCTAATGGGTGTAAGGTGATATCTCATTGTGGTTTTGATTTGCATTAGTGATGATTTGCATTTGATGATTAGTGATGTTTAACATCCTTTCATGTGCCTGTTGGCCATTTTGCTGTCCTTGTTGGAAAAAATATCTGCTTAGTTCTTCTGTCTTATATACTTTTCTAATCTTAAAAGTGTGTGTCTGTATACATATATATAATACTCATTCTCAAAATCAAAATAATAATGACTACATTAATGTTTTAATAGCATCTGATGTGCCAGACATTGTGATATAGCTTTATGTGAATCATCTCTACAGCTTTTAAAGTTGTTGTAAGGATCAAAGGATATAATGCCTAATGGAACACCTGGCAAATCAGAAAACATTCTCTTTTTTTTTTAAGTTTATCTATTTATTTTGAGAGAGACTGAGCCAGCATGAATTGGGGATAGGCAGAAAGAGAGACAGACAGACAGACAGACAGACAGAAAATCCCAAGAGGTTCTGCACTAGTGGAGCTTGAATGTGGAGCTTGAAATCAGGAAACTGCAAGATCATGACCTGAGCCAAAACCAAGAGTTGGACACTTAACAAACTGAGCCACCCCGCCACCCCAAAAACATTGTATTCTGAAACTTAGTAGCCAGTGTTACCATCTGCGGAATATTATTGTTTAACAGCATATTAGGACTATTGGAAATGTTTTCCCAACCACAGATCTCTTTTCTCTTTGCAGCTTGTCGCTGTAATGTCAACAGCTCCTTGTCCGAGAGTTGCCATGCTAGGACAGGACAATGTGAATGCAAACCCAATGTCCAAGGACTGCGGTGTGATGAGTGCAAGGTAAGGAGTAAGAGCTGGTCGTGAATTACTTCCTCCTTGAAAATGTTCATTACCTTTCAACAACATACATATGAATACATTGAAAGAGGAGTCCAGGATTACCCAATTCTACATGTACAATCACTGTGATCATTCAAGGGTTTTCCCAAAACAGAACAAAATTTGCTGTGCACTAGCAGCTGACCTTCAACCTATATTTCCTTGGCAGTGAACTTGTATAATATTTACTGTAATTCAGATGTTTCTGAAACAAAGGACCTATAAATTTAATACCAGTCTATCATGAGTAAAATACTCTTTGCTTTTATGTTGTTGGCAGAATGAAGTGTGTCACACCCTTTGTTTTTGGCAAACATTTGTTCTAGTTTGATCACTGAAAAGTTAGTTACAGGGAGCATTCTACTTCAAAGAAGTGTTCAGTAGAGAAGCTAATCAACAGAGGTTTATATACACCATTGCTTTTAAATGAAACAAAATTCACGATACCTTGTTCTCTGTTCCCGAATGTTTTGCATTGCCTTCAGTATGGCAAGCCCCTCGAGATCCCTTCATGAGAGTGATGGATTTGCACTACCTACTTCTTATAAAAATGTATTTTGGGTTATAAAGACTTAAGCAGGGCAAGTATTTCTCAGATGGCAAACTGGCCTTTCTGCAGTAAGTTTGGAAATATTGTCTGCCTCTATCTCTTGAATAATACCATATGCTCTATTGTTTCTGTGTTTCATTTTTCTGTCGGCTTTTAAAGCCCAATACGTGGTGGGATCCAGAGAAGCGCTTCTGTGTGTTATGTGACTGCAATCCCGTTGGTTCTGTGACACCACAGTGTGACCTTACAGGAAGATGTGCATGTAAATCTGGCTTCGTAGGGAGACATTGCAACCTCAGCAGGCAGGTGCACCAGCAGAAGGAGCAGTCACGGAGAGCGCACCGGGTGCTGGGGCTTCCTCAGAGGTGGGGTTCCAGCACCTCCAGCGGGTGCCCTCGGGGAGCCTACCGGCCCCCAGCTCCGGTAATCCAGAGGCACTGCATGGCTCCTGCCTCCGCATGTTGTGTTCCATGTGCAGCCACTGACCTTCCCCGATGCCATTTTTACCAAATAATGGTTGCTTGGTGTGCCAAATTGCAACTGTATAAACTAGACAATTCCTGCTTAAAACGTTGCCTTTTGAAAATAGCTGTCTGTGTATTTTTAAAAGTATGTTCAAGTTCATAGGTTCATAAAAGTTTGAGTTATCCATGGATATGTAGAAGTTTATTTGTAGAAAGCTGTGATCTTAGAGGTGGAAGGAATTTCAGACGTCACTGGGAACGAACTCAGTTCTATGAATGAACAAATGAAGGGAAATCTAGCAAAGATTCTCTCGTAGGGAGACCTGTCCAGGCACCTCATGGCTGGCTCTGGATTGTCATGAGAACAGTACATGAGGCACGCATCTGGAGAGTTCCTAGTAAATGCTAGGTATCATTACTGTTGTTGTTTTGTTGTTATTAGATGAAGAAATCTTTAAAAAAAAAATACTGTTTTTTCAAAAACAAATGCACACATTTAAAGTAAAAGAAAGGAAGAGTAACAGATCAAAATGTCTCCAAAATATAAATTTAGCAGAAATCCCACCCTCATTCATGCCCTTTTCCTACATACCTTATAGCACTATCATGTAGGGTGGGGTTTCGTCCTGAGACCGTTCTTCCTCTGAGACAATATGTATGAGAGTTAAGAGCACAGACTTTGGAACCAGGCTGTCTGATTTGGAACCCTTACCCTAAGGTTGGGGAGCTGGTGACCTTAGGCAAATTACTTGACCTTTCTATGCGTTGGTTTCACCACTCAGTAGAAAGGTGATGGTAATAACTATGTCCCAGGGTTGTCTTGAGGATTAAATGAATTCATGTTTGTAAAGGGCTTTAGAACAGAGCTTAGCACATGGCAGGTGTAATCAGAAGTGCTGTTGTTATTATTACTCCAAATGAAAATACTTTACGGATTATCAAGCTTCCCAGCGACACTGGATAGGGACTGTCTCCCGTTTTGTTTTACCTCATTAATCTTGTTTAGACTAGGAACATCTACTTTTTGAATATGTTTACCTTACCACAGAGATTTTCCCTAGCCTCTGAAATAAGTTTTTATACATCAGATTTATTACAATTTTGTTACTGAAGTTTGTTAGTTTGTTTTGGTATTACTTAATTCTTTAAAACTACATTATTTAAATATTTGAAACATATGACAGAGAGATTTCTTTGTACGTAGTTTTTACATAATGAACTTGGGAGTTTTCTTAATAACTATGATTTAGAAGTTCAAATAATACTATATTGATATACCCATCAAAGATATACATATGCCAAGTGAAGAAAAATTTAAGAAATAAAGATGAGTTTAAAGTACTCTCTCTACGATTCAGGTTTCTAAGTCAAGAAAATTTAGGAAATAAATGCAAAATACTTTGCATAAGAAATGCTAAGACATCTATGATTCAGGCTTTTAAAAACTAACATAGCTTGTTCTAGTCTTTATTTCATGTATATATGTTTCTATTTGTGTCTGAAGAGTGGTATGTGTGTCATTAGAGGTATATAATTGGGATCATAGTATATATATAATTCTGTATTCTGCTTTTTGAAATTTTGCATTATGCTATACATTAAACACATTCCTATCATTAAAACTGCTTCAAAACAGGATTTTAATAATTGCATATTATTTCATAGCATGAATGTATCCTAATTTAATTTATTCAACTTTTTTTCTAACATTAAACATTTAAGTACCTCTGTAGTTACTCTCATAAATAATACTGTAATGAGCATGCTCATACTTTAACCATTTTCCTAATTTCTGATTATTTCTCTAGGTCAGGTATTTAGAATTTTATAGCTAAATGTGGGTTTTTCTGAATAAAAATATCCTATGCTTTAATCTTTCCTTACGTAGCTAAATTTAATTTTAAAATTGTCTTAAACCATTTGTTAGAAATGATACATACTTCTTTTTTGTTTTATTTATTGTTTGTTTTAAATTTTAGATTAATTGCAGTATAGTTAACATACAGTGTTATATTAGTTTCAGGTGTACAATAAACACAAAACACTTTCTTCTGTAATCATATAATGAAATCTGAATTTGAACTGGAAATAAAAATAAAGTCCGCAGTAAATACAAAGATTAAATGATTATCAAACTCAATCAACCCATTTTATATTTAAAAACCAACACTGTTCTTAGCTATAGTCATTTTAAAAGACTAATTTTCAGTATTATTTTGTTTTCTAGAACTATTTCTTATACTGGTAACAATGGCAAAAATATATAATAATCCCATTTCTCTTTGGGTGGCTCATATTAAATAGCAAGATTTATTCCTACCAGAAAGTAACTATTATGTCTGATATTCCAAAGTAGGAATTATTTTTACAAAGAAGTAATTACTGAGACTAATTTTTCGGATTAAAATATCATAACAATGTGGCATACTTCATATTTTAAAATACAACCTTGATGTACTTTAAGTAGGATATGTGCTTTTCATTTTTCTAGTAGAGGTAATTTTTAATTTATCCACACTTTCTAACATAATCACTCTAGGTCATATAACATGTATTTCAAGCCAAAGCTAGTAATGAAAACTGATCATAGAAAGTTATTTGTTATAAATAGATAAAAAATATGCCTAGGACTAACTCATCAGAGAATAAAAGTTTCCTTTCATCCACCTAATCTGGTGCTTTAATGTGTGTTCTCTCAAATCAATTTCACTTGTTAAAATGAAACCCAAGAAACTACATGTTTGTAAACCAATTATTTTGTTAGCATAGGCATAAACCTGTAAGTTATATTTATAATGTGAGCCCTAGAATAATGATCAGAAGTATTTATGGAGAGATGACAAAAATTAGATCAAATATTAGAGGAAGAATATTTTAACTGTAGGAATCTGGTTAATAATATTGAAAACATTTTTAACAAGTAAAACGAGTTCATAAGATCTAAAAGCAATCAACTCAGATTATTAGGAATGAAGCAAGTAAATTTTTAAATTAAAATATAAATAGCACCCATAGCTTAGTTCCACATTACTGTTAAACCCTTGGGCAAGTTAGGAAAAGACCGGTGAACATATAATAGACAAAAAGATCATGCCCTAGTTCTACCGTTAATTTTGATAAAATTTTAAAGTAATTGAACTCTTCATTTTGGATATCCTAGAAAAGGTCCATTAGATAAAATTACAACCTCATTGTCATAACAGCAGTGAAGAACCTTGATAACCCATTGGTTTCTCTTTCCTGCCTCCTCTTTCGGTATTGTGCATCTTGTTTCATAATGAATTAATTGATTTAAATTTAATTTTTCTCTTTCCTTTTCTATGTCAGCCGGAAACCTTCGGCCTACAATCCGGGAGGGGGTGTGTTCCCTGCAATTGCAATTCTTTTGGGTCTAAGTCATTTGACTGTGAAGAGAGTGGTCAATGTTGGTGCCAACCTGGAGTAACAGGAAAGAAATGTGACCGCTGTGCTCACGGCTATTTCAACTTCCAGGAAGGAGGATGCACAGGTCTGTGAATAAGACTAAGCCCTACACTTTCATTCTCTGTTTTAGCATTTTCGAGACTGTAGGAGTTCATTCTTCCAGGTTCCCAGAGATTTAAAGGAAGGGCACCTTGACAACAAATATATGACCCAACATATTTCACTGAATAAGTAAAGTATACTTATTTTAAATAAACTAACAAATGGGACACATTGCAGTGTGAAACACTGCACTATAAAAAACTGCTTGCAGATACTCCATAAAAAATCCATCAGCCGTTCTCAATTCTGCCGTGTCCCTTCTTGTCTGTGACCGCCAGTCAGCCAGTCAGTCGCTCAAGGGCTACTGTAGCTTGAAAGTCAAATGTTCAATTTTTCTTTTGCCAGTGTTCTCTAAGCTTAAACTTCACTCCCAAGTTAATACAGCTCAACTTTCTCTTTTCCTATTGCAAAACTGGTATAAGGATCAGAGAAGTTAACTTTTTTTTCTGGTATAAAAAGAAAATCTTTTCATCTACTTTCATGTGCCTTGAAAACCATGATGTTCCTAGAAAGAAATAGATTAGCACTAGGTATTCGCTAGTTCTTGGGGAAATACAGGAAGATTTCTAACCACAATTTCTCTCAAGCAGTATTCTCATATTCTTCCCACAAATCATGAATTAAGAAAATAGGAGTTAGCATATTACAAACGAAAATGAAGACTGAACGTTACCTTGATTTATTTGCTACTAATTTGGAACTGACACTTATCCCAACATTTACTAGGTTGGGTATCACCTTTGCTTATTAAATTCACTGATTGAACACTGATGATACTCCTTTACTCCCAGTACCATGATAAATACGCGATAAGGTTTTAAGACATTATTATTGACTATTGTTGCAAATTTATGTAAGTAGTGGCAGGATTAATATTTCAAATTATTTAAAAAATGAGTACCTTATAGATATTCTCAACCAATTTCAATATACACTTTTCATCATAAAGATAAACCATTCTGTTGTTCTGAACGTTATCATTGTAGATCTCCTAAAAATCTGCATGTGATCTGAGTCATCATCTATGTACACTGAAAACTTACAAAGCTGCGTTTTCAAATATACTGTTCTTTAAATCCAACTCTAACAGTTCACTTAATGCAAATTAATGAAAATGGAAGTATACATTCAAACATATTCACTACCAGAAATTATAAATAAGACAAAGAGTACTATTCAAAATTATGAGATGGTGATAACGTTAGAAATGCAAACTTAGTAGCATTCAAATCCAGAGAAACAGGACGAAAACCAGTCCCAAAGAGGCAGGATAGCATTATGGTTGAGGGTATGACTTCACCAGATAACTTGGATCAGTTTAGTGGCTCCACGGGTAACTAGTTATGTGACCTTGACTGAGCGACCTGGTCTTGCTGTCTTCCTGCAATATTTATCTGTTGATTCAAGAACGGTATCTATCTTACTGGGTGTTAGAAGAATTAGTTGGGTTAATGGCTATAAAATATTTAGAGTGCTGCCTGGCACTTAGCATGTAGGTGTTTATCATTGTTATTCTTATTAGCAATGTTTATTAGTATTCTGAATGGTGGTAAACATTCCATTTGAGTGGGAAAACTAGCTAATTATTCAGGTCTTCTCCCTACCTAGTTTTATGGTTCCATTGAAGAACTGATTTGAGAATTTCTATTTACAAGTAACAATTTGAACTATCCCAAAACATTCTTAGCACATAAATATGAATATAATATAAACTGTTTTTCTTCTTAGTAAGGTATAAAATAAATCCTTTGACTTCAAATTATCAACAACAATAATAATAACAAAAACAACAGCTAACATTTATTTGGCATTGGTGTCAAGTATTATGTTAAACATTTTTCACAGCTGGCATGCTGTAAGCAATGATAATTGTGGTCCCTGGAAAGCTGAACTTAATCAAATATTTGAAGTATATTTCATTTAAAGATTTCATCATCATATAACCAATGAAAAGGTGTCTTATAACATTAGTCTTCTTTTTGAATCTGAATATTTGGTGGTGTTTCTTCTCTTGCTTACACTTAGTTGGAATCACTGTTTTGAAATATACTTCGTGTTGAGTCAATGATAGCTAATCAGTAGTGGATATTCCTCATCTTAGATGACTTTGACTTTGAAGCTCTTCTGAAATAATTTTTTTTTCTTTTCCAAATCTCATTTTTGTATTCTTTGAGAAAGTGCAGTGGGTAGACATATTCTTCATACATCGTATCATAGCTAAGAAAATAAAAACGCTATTGAAAAGAATAAAGCAGGTGGTAAATAAAACTCAAAAATACCTTCATACACACACACACACACACACACACACACACACACACACGAGTTACATAAGTCAGCTATTTTTAATCTTTGCAAAACCGAAATGTCCTGATGTGTGGCTATTATAATCAGAGTCATCAAAAGGAAGGAAATATTAATCTATATAGCATAGAAAATGAAGTTATGAACTTGAAATACCTATAGAAACAAAATTTTAAACTTTATAGCATCTAGACTCAGTTATCATAGAATCTGATATGCCCCGTGTTTCTTTCTTTCAACGTAGTTGAAAAACTAAAACTGTTTTACCTTTTGGAATTATTAAATGAAATACAACATAAATTTATTGATCATCTCTGTGAAAAATACGTTAATGTGATATAAAAGATGAATGAGGTCAGTGTTCACTTCCAAGTATCCTTAACCATAATATGGAAAATAAAACAACAGAAATAAACTCAGCACTCTCTATCAAATTTTTACTGTTTTACTATTTTTTCCCTTTCACCTGTGAAGCTTGTGATTGTTCCCATCTGGGTAATAACTGTGACCCAAAGACTGGACAGTGCATCTGTCCTCCCAATACCATTGGAGAGAGATGTTCTCAATGTGCACCTAATTCCTGGGGTCACAGCATCACCACTGGTTGTAAGGTAAGTTCATTGCTTTATTTTCTCTGGTAATGTTTCAAAATTTTTTTATTTTGTTAAAGCTTTACAGTTGGGCATTTCAGAAGCCAGTATTACCTTATAAAACAGTATAGAACTATCAGTATTGAGTGATTGCAGATACTGATCAGTACCTTATATTTCATTTTATTTCTGGGAAATATGATGAAGTACACACTTCTGTATCTTTATTCATTATACCTACAAAAAAAGGAAAACTTAAAACCAGAAACAGCAATAACTTTATACCTAGACACAATGAAATATTATTTGCAAAATACAAGGAAATTAGGAACTAATTAAAGGAATTTACCAAAAATCTAAGGAATTGCCCCTAAATTAGGACTATGTTTCAGTATTGAAGAAGCATTTGAAAGGATTTTGGGGAGTCATAATGACAGCCTTTATCTTGAAAAAGTCCTCATTTTTCCCACGGGTATACCTTAGAAAGTGACATGGCTAGGTTTACATTTCAAGAAATCTATCCAGCATCAGAGGTGAAGGTAATGGATACAGCTGTTGTGGAAATATTGGTGAGAGAAGACAGAAGCTTGGATCCAGCCAATGAGCCTCCATGAAGATACAGGGAATAGGCTATTTTACAGAATTCTTACTGCTGTATGGCTTGGTAAGCTCATAGTTTGGGAGGATAAGAGAAATCTTAAGGATAAGTCCAGGATTTTGCTTTGTAGTTGATTAAATTAGAGCATTATTTATTCCTAGAAGGACTTCAGGTAACTCAAATTCAAGTAGGAAAAGTGGTGAGTCCAGACGGGTTTTTTTTCCCAGCTTTTTATGAGGTATTTACTAAATAAAATTCAATTCACTCATTTAAAGTAATGCATTTTGACCAATGATTACAGTTGTATAACCACCCCATGCCTTTTTGTAGTTGGCTTCCCCTCCCCCCTCAGTCACACCAGTAAACTACCCTTTCTGCTTCTATCACTATAGTAATGTCAGTTCCTCAGGTTCATAGAAATCAAGTAATACTTCATGTTGTTGTTTGGGTTTTGTTTGTTTATTTGTTTGGGGGAATTAATCTTGGCCCAGCTTCCTCTACATAGTATAATGCTTCTGTGATTCATCCACACTGTTGTATATAGTAGTTTGTTATTTTTAATTGTTTAATAATTTTACATTGGATGATGTGCAATGATTTTTTTATTTATTCACTATTTAATGGGCATTTGGGTTATTTCCAGCCTATTATGAATAATTTTGCTATGAACATTAGTGTATAAGTCAAAAGCATGGGTGTAGACCTGTTTTCATTTTTCATCCCAAGAATACTCCACATCCTTACCAACATTTGGGATTCTGACTCTTTAATTTTAAGCATTCAGTTAGGTGTTTATTTATATCTTTCCCTTTCTTTAATGTCCAGTGATGTTGGGAATAATATTATTTATTTATTTACCATTTATACATCTTCTTGGGTAAAGTGTCTGTACAAATCTTTTCTATTTGGGGTTGTTAATTTTCTCAGCAATGTGTTGTAAGAGTTCTTTAAGTATTTTAGATACCAGTCCTTTTTATATATTTATGTTCTGTAACCATTTTCTCCCAGTATACAGCTTGTGTTTTACTTCTGCTGCAGTATCTTAATCTAATTTTTATAAAGCCTAGTCTATTATCCTTTTCTTTCATGGGTTATGCTTTTTATTTTCTAAGAAATACACCTTAGCCTAAGTCAAATTCTAAAGACACCTCTCCTATGTTTTCCTCAAGAAGTTTTATAGTTTTGAATTTTGCATTTAGGTCCACCTTGCAATTTCTATATTAATGTTTCTATATGATTTGAGGTAAAGGTCAAAGTTCACCTTTTAATGGATATCCAACTTTTCCAACATCATTTCTGAAAAGATTCTTCTTCTTCTTCATTGAGCTACTTGGGCCCCTTTGTCAAAATAAACTGGCACTATATGTGCCCATACATTTCTGAACTTTATTCTGTTTCATTGGTCTATCTGTTCTTGTACTGACACCGTACTGTCTTGATCACTGCATCTTTCTAGCAGAGCATTAAATTGGGTGGTATAAACTCTCCAGCTGTTTTTCATTTCTAAAACCTTTTGGGTGTGTTAGATCCTTTGCATTTCTATATAAATTTTTAAATCAGCTTCTCAATTTCTTTACCAAAAACCTTCTAGAATTTGAAAGGGGTTATATTAAATCTACAGGTCAGTTTGGGGAAAATGGACATTTTAAGAATATTGGATCTCCCAGTGTATGAATATGATATATTTTTTCATTTACTTGTCTTTATAATTTTTTTCTTATTAGCATTTTATAGTTTTTGGTGTGCAAGTCTTGTACATACTTTATTAAATTTATCATGTGTTTTCTATTTTCAATAGAAAATAGAAAACACAAATGCTTTTATTCCATTTCAGTTTCCAATCGTTGCCAGAATAGAAAAATGCAATTATTTTTATGCAGTAACTTTCTATTTTTTTTAAATAGACTATCTATTTTTTTAGTAGCCTCTATGCCCAACTTGGAGCTTGAACTTACAACCCCACAATCAAGTGTCCCATGCTCTACCAACTGACCCAGCCATGCACCCCATACATTAACTTTCTTTTTGACACCTTGCTAAGTTTATTCTAGCTACTTTTTAGAAGCTTCACTAGGATTTTCTATGCAGACAATCATACCATCTGCAAATTGAGTTTTGCTTCTTCTCTTCCAACCCATGTAACTTTTATTTCATTTTCTTTACCTATTGCAGTAAAATGTTGACTTGCAGTGATGGGAACAAATATTACAGCCTAATTCCTTACGTTAAGTAGAAAGGAGTCAGTCTTTTACAATTAAGAATAATGTTAACAATGTATTTAATTTACAAATGTTCTTTATCAGTTTAAAGATGTTCCTCGTATTCCTAGTTTATTAAGAACTTTTATCAAGAATATATGTACAAGTTTGTCAAATGCATTTTCTGCATCTATGGAGATGATCATATAATTTTTTCATTTTCAGCTGCTAATGTGGTGAATCATATTAATTGATTTTCAAATGGTGATCCAACTTTACAATCCTCAGATAAATCCTGCTTGATCACAAGGGATTATCTACTTTAAATTATTTTAGATTATGTTTGTTAGCATTTTGTTAATGATCTCTAGGTCTGTTCATAAGGAATATTACTTCATAGTTTGTTTTATCTTATGGTGTTATTGTTTAGTTTTGTTATTGGGGTACTGCTACTCTCATGAAATAGATTGGGAAGTATTCCTTTCTCATAGTTTCTGAAGGAGTTTGTGTAATCAATGAAATAGAAAATAAAAATAGAGAAAAGTCAATGAAGCCAAAAACTGGCTCTTTGCAATTATTAAAGTTGATGATATTCTAAGACGACTGATCAAAAAAAGAAATAAGAAAAAAGAAAGTCAAGAATAAAGGAAGGGACATCATGAGAATCCTGCATACACTAAAATAATATGAAATAATATGAGCAACTTTAGCCAATAAATTTGATAACTGTACAAAATAAACACTCATTCCTTCTGTTTACTTTGAGTTTAATTTTCTCTTGTTTTCCAAGTTTCTTCAACTGAAAGTTTAGATAATTGACTTGAGATCTCTCTTCTTTACTAATATAAGCATTTTATTTTAAATTAAAATTTATTCTAGTTACATTTTGGTGGCTTCAATATATATTCAATAAATATATTAAATTTCCTTCCAGGCACTAATTTAGTTCCATTCCACACATTTTGATATATTGTTTAAGTTTTACCCTTAAAATATTTATTTTAGTAAAAAATTTATTTTAGTAAAAATTTATTTTAGTAAAAAATATTTATATTTATTTTTATTCACTAATTATTTAGAAATTAGTTGTATAATCATCATATACTTGGTGGTTTTCAAGGTATCTTTCTGTTATCGGCATCTAATTTAGTTCTGTATTGGTCACAGAACATAATGTGTTTAATTTCAGTCCTTTTGATTGTATTATGTCTCACAATAGTGTCCATTTTGATTAATGTACTTGCAAACAACTTGTATTGTGGTATTATTGGGTGAAATCTATAAAAGCTAGTTATCCTTAGTGATTTTTATGTGTGCATATTCTATCAATAGCTGAGGGTGATTAACTATACTTATGATTTGTCTATTTTTGCATTAGTTCTCTCAGGTTATGATTCATGTATTTTGGAGTGATAATATTAGATATATACTCATTTAGGATGATTATGTCTTCTTGAAAAGTTGATCCCTTTATCAATATATAATGCCTCTATCCTGGGTAATATTTCTTGTGAAGAATAATATTTTTTTCTGATAATCATGTATCCAGGGCTAAGTCTTTCTTTTGATTGGTATTTGTATCATATACATTTTTCCACGCTACCATTTATTCCATCTCTTTTTTTAATATTTTAATGTGTTTCTTTTAGATGGCATATATTTAAGTCTTTGTTGTTGATATAATCTTAGTTGGATTGTTGAACCCATTTCCATTTTAATGTAATTATCAATATGATTGAGTTAAGTCTGCATTTTGCTTCTTGCTTTGTTCTACCCATTCCTGCTTTCTTTTTGATTCTTGTCTTATTTTGGATTGAGTAATTTTTTATAATTACATTTTATCTTCACTTTTGATTTATTAACTATATATTTTTTGTTTTTCTTGTCTTTGCCTCAGATACATCTTAAGTTAATACTTTGACATCTTAACATTTTAACATTTTATAATGTATCTTAAAATAATATTATATACTTTACATTTACTTACAAGAGTAAACCTCTAATTCCTTTTTACCCTTTATGTTACTTCTTTTCCGGTCCTTTATGTTATTGTTGTCATACATCTTACTTCTATATATTATATATCCTACAATATAATCTTATAATTCTGATTTAAAATTTTTTAACGTTTTAGTTTTGAGAAAGAGAGAGAGAGAGACAGAGTGTGAAGGGGGGAGGGATGAAGAGAGGGGGAGACACTGAATCTGAAGCAGGTTTCAGGCCCT